TTTCAGACAGTGTATGATGAGACAAAGTGGCTCACTAGAAGACTCCTTGCTTAACAGCAGATGTATATTATAACATAACTATTATAACTATATGAATATATATGAACTACAAATTTCAAATAATATTTTCTATCTGTATCTTCTAAAAGTTGTGCCAACAAAAAATTCAAGGCCGATAAAAAATGATCTAGCTTATAAAATTATGGTACAGCACATGTATTGTATCAGTTATCTTAGTGTCATACTGTGTACAGTACAATGAAATGTCCATGAGCTTTTTAAAACCATTGCTTATCCATATTCCTTATCTGTGGGTTCACTGGCAGAAGTGAAAGTTGTTTTTTCTCACTCACATCAGCATTTTGTAGGTTAATTCTCAGAACTATAAGTCAGGTGCTCATTGCAGCAGAGTGAAATAAGGCAACAAGAACAAAAATAAATTGCCAAGATACTAATTTCCAGCCGAGTGCATTGAATGCTAAATGAAATTACTTCAGTCTCTAACGCGATGAGTAGTATCTAAATTTCAGTCTACTTTACCTCCTCTTAAAACACAGATACAGTACAGTATGTGAGTTTCCATTTTATCAGCATTTTTGAGGTTGAGAATCTTTTCCCAGTTTCAGGATTTTTCTCTGAAAGAGAACTAGGAATTGCACATTCATCTGTATGTATGAATGCAGACTAAAGAAAATAAAAACAATATTCCTGAAAGGAATCCGTCGCAACAACTTGGCTTTGACAATTGCCATAATACTTTTGTCTTTACATTAATTAAATGCTTACAAATAATGCATAGATTAATTCAAAGCTCATGCAAATTTCTCTATTATCAAGCTGTTACTGCATTGTATGAATGTGATTTTCTTGCAAAAATCTATTAAATTATGTTTGCTGAAGTAGTGCCTGTAGGAACAAGTAATGGGTTTAGTCCATGTTGAAAAGAGGAGAAAGGAAACAATGTTTCAGCTGTGGAGCCTTCTACGGGTGTGAAAAAGACAGGGCAGACAGCAAAGATTATATAAGAGAACAAAACCTGAGAGTGGAGAAAGCGGGAGCAGGGGAGAGGCATAGTGTGAAGTCGAGAGACGTTAAGAGAGGTGTGAAGTTGAAACCTACAAATGAATAGAGAGAATTAGAAGAAAACTAATCTATCGTTGAGAGAAGAGGGAAGGTGTGAACCAAGTTTCAGGATAATTTTAGTTTCTGATGTCTTTTTGCTATAGGAGTTAATAAATCCTTCTTTGAGAATGCAGACGGAGAGATCATTGTGATCATGGCCGTTTGAGGTGAAATGAGAAACTATGGGCTTGGAGAAATCTTTAATTTTTACAGCCCTAACATGTTTTCTGAAGCGGTCTCATAGTCTCTTTCTGGTTTCCCCAATGTAGATGGCTGGGCATTTTCTGCAAGAGATACAGTAAATAAGGTTGCTGGAAGTACAAGATGTCATTATAGATAGATAGATAATACTTTATTAATCCCGTAGGGAAATTGATGTGTTACGGCAGTCCAGCCCAAGACAAGCAAAACAGACATCAGAATAGTTATTAAACAAAAGACAAACAAGATAAATAAAAATAAATACATGGGTGTGTGCAAAATGTGCTGATCATAGTTACTGTAAAAACAATAAAATATGTGCAAAATGTGCATAGGTTTATACAGACTGATTGTCCAAAAAGTACAATGTAGTAAACATGCTG